TTTTTTCAAAGAAAAGATCTGCATAAAATTAGCCAATCATTTTTGTTTTGTTTTTTTTCTAAAAGATTTCTAGATTGACTATCCTTACAGTATTTGGAAATTCCATATTTGGTAATAATCCTGACTGCATTATTACAGTCAGGGAATATACTAAATTTGGTATTTCCTAATTTATAAATGATAAGCGTTCTGGAATTTCTGGAAGAAATTTTGGAAGAAATTTGATTGGCTAAATTTTACACAGATCCTTTCGATAAATAAAAAACATCTAATATTTAATATTAAAGAAAAAGAAAAAACATGGCGAGAGCTTTATTAACCAGTCATGTAACTTCCAAACTATAGGATTAAGCAATATAAGAATGACGTTTTTGTGATATATAGTATATATCCTGATAGGTAATTTTAATATTATGTACAAATTCAACAATAGCTATTTAATAAAAAAATCAATTAATATTGTGTATTATAATTATAACCACAATAAATGCAATATATATGCACATATAAAAATCAGCAACCTGATAAATGATTTTAATATCATATATAAATTCAATAATTTTCCTTTACCACCACCATTCATCAAAATCATTGATATCTCATTTAATCCACAATAAAAATAATCAATTTATATGCTCTCTGATTATGATTAAATTATTCATTTTACCCATTGAATATATACATAAATAAAAATTAGTATATTATTTATATAACAATAAATATATAAATTTAATATATATAAGTAATAAAAAAATTTTTTTTAATGATTCTTACATGTAAATATTCAAAGGAATTTATTTCGATGAAAGATTTTGGTGATTTTGGCCTTGATCTTGGTCTTTGTCTTTTTCATTGATGGTTAACTTTAGTTTTTTTCGTTGGTTTAGAACTAGTGTTATCATTTTCTCAAGAAAAGAGTTGTTAGCAACAATTTGGTTATAATGTCTTTCACAAATAGAATAATCATCAAAACATTCATCAATATTTCAGTCAGGAATTTTGCTAAATCGGGATGTGTAACAAACAATGTTCTAGAAATTTTTTCCCCAATAAAATTTTGTAAA